AAGGTCTTACATCTATGTTTCGTGGGCTCCCTAATGGTCTTGCTTGGAATGCCATGGGCTCCCCCACACAGTCTAATAACCAAGTGCCATGGTCACCCCCATGGTCTTTACTTGGAATGTCATGGGCTCCCCTACATGGTATGATACCTAAGTGCAATGGGCACCCCCATAGTCTTTACCTGGAATGCTATTGGCTCCCCCACATGGTCTGACATCCAAGTGCCATGGGCTCCCCCCGGGGTCTTCCATGCAAGTATCACAAAGATAACTAGCATATCACATACAACAAAATCAACTAGCATACCACCTGACACATAATCAACTAGCATACCACATAACAAATAATGGGGGCGGCCTTGGTGCCTTTGAACCATTGGCATTGTGAGGAGACTAACGTCACACTGTTGATGTCCCGTAGAGAAAACTATGGTTTCTGGTTGACAGATGCCCGAACTGTCAACATCAAAACAATTCCCAATTAATAATTAGGCTCCAATACATAACCATAATTCCATGCTTAGGGTAAAAAGGCTACTTTACCCCCAACCTAGCATTATCCAAGACCAAGGCCAAAACTCACACTCTGAAGGCCCAAAAGTCAAACAATTAACCAAGGCCCAATTATGGCACAATATCCAAATTAGGACGAAGTCTCTCACATGGGCCTTACCCTAAAGCCCATACAAATATCTTAGTCCCTATACTTGTTCCCAAATGGCCCAACAAGAACCTAAACACCCAAGCCTAAAACAAAGCCTAACTTGAAGCCCAAACATAATTAGGGTTTTCATATAAAATGATGATTAGGGTTAAGTGTTCTTACTTAACCCATTAAGGACATAATCCATTAAGTCCATCACTACACTAGACCAAACATACAATGTGGTCGGGCGTAAGTTATAACTTTAATCCATTGGTCCAAAACGCGGGTCCTGGCATGTCCAAATCAAATTTCAAAGATTAGGGTTTTGTAAACCTTAATTAGGGTTTCCAACCCAACACATGTCAATTAGACCCAAAAGTTTAAGTTTTTAACTAATTAAAGTTTCATTATGTTGAGCACCATCCACTGCCACCTCAGGCAATGGTGGTCGACGGCGGCTCACAGTGGTAACCACCACCTCACATTGGTGGTGGGGATGTTCCTTGACTTTTCTCCGGCCAAAACACCCAATCAACATCTCAACATAGAGGAAATGCAATCACACACACAACCACCCATGTGATGCCAGGCGACAACAAACGATGGCAGCCACCACCTAATGGTAGTGGCGGTGAGTTTTCTATCCACTAATACACAAACTACACCACTATTTCCAAAGCATCCCATACATGGAAACATATACGTGCTCAACCACCTACAAGGTGGCAGAAACGCTGCCAGAGCTAAAAGAATCAGTGGCTGAGGTCGGCAGCGGCAGAAAGGACGTTTCCCGACATCACACTCACCAGAAAGAACAAATGAGAGGAGATATGGGTTGCATCTTTACTTACCGAGAGCTTTCGGTTGCTCATGACACTCGCATCGACGCCCACAACATGTTCCACGGCCCTTGGCGATTCTGAAAATGGTAATGATATATCATTATCAAGATAATTGATTTGGTCAAAGTTTGAAATAAAGACAATATTAACTCATTAATTTAATTATTTAAAATTTGATCTAGTATTTTAAAAAGTTTTAAAAATACACCCTTTGGTCACGAGATTTAAAATTTAATTAAAAGTATAATTTTGAAATTTTAAATTTAGAACCCAAGTATTTTAAAAGGTTTAAATTACATCCTCATGGATGTTATTAATAATTTAATTAAAAGATATAAATCCATAAAGGAAAAAAATTAGCAAAAAAAAAAAAGAAATGGAAACAAAAACAAAAAACGGTGGAAATTAGAAAGGAAAACAAACATTTGCCGGTGGAGAAATACGTCGGAAACTCAGAACGTCGCCGGTGGAGCAGGTACGTCGGTGAGGAGCTGAAAATCACTCTGGTTGAAGAAGTTGGGTGCACCGGTGGTTAATAGTCGATGGAAGATGCAAAACAAGTCTCCAGTCGCCGAAAAAGCGTTGAAATCGCCGGAAGAACGAGAGAGGAATGGAGTGGAGGTGATACCTGGTCTGCGATCTGGTACCTGGTTAGCGACGCCGAATTAACCATTAGCGTGACATATTGGATTGAAAACACGCATCAATTTTTTCGTTAACCCCATCCGCCGGATCAAGATGTAATCGTAGGGCCATAACTTGATCCGGAGGCATTCACACGGATTGCCGGTACCACCCTTTAGAGACGACGCTATTAGCGGCGACGGAGACCTTTAGTGACGACAAAAACCCGAATTGTCGGATGTCGTCCCTAAAGGTACATGTCGTCCGTAACGGTGGCGCCCCTAAAAATTATATTTCTTGTTGTGTATAATGGTACAAAAATGTGTATAATAGTACAAAAATCTGTAGCGCCAAATAAAAGTTGTAAATATATATTGTGGAACTAGATGACAAAACATGACACTATTCTTTATATATATATATATATATATATATATATATATATATATATATATATATATATATATATATATATATATATATATATATATATATATATATATATATATATATATATATATATATATATATATATATATATATATAATTTTTGTAAATATATTTGATGAATTTTTTTGGGGTAAATCTCATTATATCCGGTATACTCAATATTTTAATAAGTTTGATAATATTTTGTTTTTGTTAAGATTTACGTGTGTTCGAATCTAGGCCTTGGCAAATTCTTCCCCGTGCATGGAATTGATATTTTTTATAACATTTTTTATAACATGAGGTGTATAAAACTTAAGTAAGTATTTGACATCAAAATTAAACCATTCGCCAAGATTGGAAGAACAATCCAAATACAATGTCATGACCAATTTAAATTATCAAAACTATATTTATAAGATATCCTTAAGAGTTTTAATTGTGACCAGAAATAACTTGTAGGCATGCAATATTTATTTTTTATGATAACAAATGTTTACTATTAAACAAACAGTCACCTTAAAATACATGTAGTCACAAACATTTTATTTTTAATGAATATTGCGTACCTTATAAATACTCAAAAGTCACCTTAAAATACATATAGTCGCAAACATTTTATTTCTTCATGAATATTGTGTGCCTTATAGATACTCAAAACAAGTAATTAATCATTTATCATGACTATTGTTTGCATATAGTAACATGTTTAATCATTTTTCATGATTATTGTTTACATTTAATCACATAATTAATTCAACCGTCACCATATATTATTTATAGCAACACTGATAATTTTACAGCTTGTACTAAAAAATTATAATTTATTTTTATTATGAATATTGTTTACTTTTAGTGACAAATCAAGTATTAAATTGTGACCATAACCCTTTGGTCACTTAAACAAATTTCGGTCACTATATAACTTATATTTTCATTTTCTTTTCGTATGACTAATTCCAATATAAAATTTAGTCACTTAAAATTATACTTCGTCGCCTTATATGTTTCACGTCTTACAAATAACCGTCGTAAGGTAAATGTATGTATCAATGTAAAAACCGTTATAAATGATGAAATTTTGCCAGGATTCTTAGACCATATCATTATTGGTCAAAATTCGTATGTAAAGCCGTTGCTAAGGTGTGAAATATGATTTGCAATGGTTACACATTTTGAATAAATTCGGACTAAAATAATCTTAGAAAGTAGTTTGACCTTTAGTGACAAAAAATATGAGAGAGGTGACCACCATGTTTTCAGAAAACCGTCACCAAAAATCAGGTTTAAACTAGTGCCAATTCTTTTTCAAGGAACTAGAATTAAAACCCCTAAAACTCAAAAAATCAAAAACTTATATTCGAACACCTTGACTTAACTTTCAAAATATTTTTTTTGGTGTTACTAGTTTTTTTTTTTTTTATCCATGAACTAAAATCATAAAATGATGCTAAAAATACATTCTAAAATAATTTGATTTTTTTTTTCTTGTTGTGAGAACACAAGTTCAATTTCCCTACATTTTTATTTTCATGTTAAAATAAGACATTCTATTTGTAGGTAGCAGCATGATTACTTAAATACAACTTCAATTTCATGTTGTGTCAAACTCTTTATTGCATAAGAATCAATTAAGGCTTCTTTTACCAGGAAATAAAACCATAAAAGCGTAAATGCCCAAAAATTAAATAAATGATGATAAATAAAACCCAAATTTAAGTAACAAATTTCAAAAGAATCAATGGTAGATAAGACGTGATATGTGACAATTTCAATTTGATGTTGTTTAGAAACCCTGATTCTTCAAAGAATGCAGCTTCACATCACGCTTAGTTAAACATCCATTCTTTAAAAAATAGAAAATTTGAAATTCGGTTAGAAGCTTAAGCAGAAGTGAACCAAACCTTGAGGTAGGGAAACAAAATCATCATCCATTGTTAATGGAGTTTCTGATGTATTTTTAAAATTTGATTGACTTGGGTCTTTGTACTCCTTAACACCCACAATTGCCTTATTAGTTGTTAAGCATATTTTCTAAAAGAAATTAAATATATTTCTATATTTCCTTGCTACTATCCTTCTACCCATATTAAATGGTGACATGTGAATTAATATATTATTAATTTCATTAAATGTAACACATGTTATCATTTGATATACTGGATAGATAAGTATGAGTAAATGTAAGAGGACATTTAATTTCTCATTTTCGAATATACCTTATGGATTGTTTCAATAAGGGAAACACTTAAACATTCTTCCATTATTTACCATGGTGTCATTGTTCATCGGTATCATCCATTCTTTTAATCTAATTGGCAAATATTTTTCATAACACTCTTATAAAAATGATCCGTACACAACACATATATAAACTTAATTATAACAGTGAAAACATTATCATATGGAAAGTGATGGGTACACAACACATATATAACCGAGATAAGTAGAATGCAACCACATGACTTCATTACATAATCATTATCAAGCTTTTATTAACTATATAAGTAATAGGAGTATTCAAAAACCATACTCAAGATCGATCGCCTTCCACATTGGCTGTCCTAATAGGGTTATCTTGCTTGCCCCCGTCATAATTGAATGCTTTATAGAGAATGATTGATGGAGTGGGATTTGTAGGAGATTTGAAGTTGATATATCACGAACCGACATTATACATATTAGAGGGTAAACGAGGGCTCAAAAGAACGTCAAGTGGTGTTGCTTTGCTATTAGTCATCCCCATGCTTTCAGTCATATCAACAGGTTCGTTTGATGGTTTTTTGAGCGCAAACTGTTGTATCAAACTAGCTAGCGTTAAAACCAAAGCCTGAAGGGCAAATAAAACACCAGGGCACATTCTTCTACCACTACCAAAAGGAAGCAATTCATAATGGTTTCCCTTGACATCGATATCCTTGTGACTTGTCAAGAATCTCTCAGGCTTAAATTCCTCGGGATCTGACCAGATATTTGGGTCACGTTGCAACTTCCAAAGATTTAACACCAAACGAGTTCCTTTTGGAATGTTGTAGCCACCCACAATGCAGTCCTCCACTGATTCATGAGGAACAGAGAGAGGTCCAGCTGGGTATAAGCGCAAAGTCTCTTTGATGATGGCATCCAGGTAGACTAAGTTCTTCAAATCTGACTCCTCTACCAGCCTGTCCCTTCCAACATGCTCATCAATTTCATCTTGGGCAGTTTCTAATGCTTTTGGGTTGTTGAGCAACAATGCTAAAGCCCACGTTAATGTCACAGATGTCGTGTCAACGCCTGCTACTAGGATTTGCTGTGAAAAGGAATTTACACAAATTAAACACTCTTGGATTAGGTTATATAGTTAAAAGGCTGAAGAAATATGTAATGTAATGACGAGAGAATGAGATAAAAGGTTGAGTTTACTAGACTTGTCGCTTTGATAATTGTATCATGGCCAAAACCCGGGAATTGATCTTCCGAAGCACCTTGAAGAATGGAAATTAGCACATGCATAAAGTCTTGGTTCGCTTCATGTTGATGTATATACTTACTCTCCTGTTTGTGCTCCTTTAACCATCGGTCAAAGATATTATCCAAATCCTTCCCAGTATTCTTCATCAATTTTTTGTATCCACCCACATCCAACCAGTTGAGATAAGGTATAAAATCAGCAACCAAAAATGCTCCAAACAACTCAAAGTATTTCCTTACGACAGCCTGAAATCGAACCCCTTCTTCATCATTTGGCGAAAACCTCTTTCCTGAAATAATCCTAACCACAATGTTTAAAACCAAGTTCCCAGACCATTGACTCATCTCCACCTTTACCATCTGTGACTCTGAACTTCCAGTAAGTTTATTCGTTCCCCACCCATCATATAAATCTTTAAGGGATGCTCTAACTTCTGAAGCTCGAATATGTCCAAGCATTTCAACTCTTCGTTGAGAAAGAACCTCGAATACGACCATCTTGCGCACTTGTCGCCAATAGTCCCCATATGGAGCCACGCCAAACACCGCATTATTATAGGCCATGATTTTTGATGCCTCCATTTTCGGTCGACTTGCAAAGGCCTTGTCGTTGGTAGTAAAGCAGTCCTTAGCAATCTCTGCATCACTTACCACCAAAGCTTGATGAACACCAAGCTTGATGGTGAAGATAGGGCCATGTTTTTCTGCCATGTCACCTAAAACCTTGTGAGGTAGATCAGGTCCACCTAGAAGGTATAGGTGTCCGATTATCGGCCATGCCCCTTTTGCTTGTGGTGGTTTTTGGTTCTTTACCCTCTTTCTGTGGAGGATATGAAGTAATAAACGGTGTACAAGAATAGAGAAGATTGTTGCAACAAGTATTGATACTATGAGGTAGAACTCCATGGCTGAGTGAGCGAAATTAATGGATGTGTAATTGTATTTATGTGTGAACCTAAAAAGCTAAGATATTGTTTCTGTAATCCTTATGGCGGTCAATAAATCATCAGAACCCGTTTATCTAAAAACACCACCGCATACTGAAATTGGGTTTACGTGGTGCTGTATTAATTGTATTCTTTATCCGCACCTCGTTTCTTCTTTCTCTTCCCTATTTCCCTATCATACAAAAATATCTCCTTTATTTTTTTCTCCCCAACTATACATAATCAACAACTCGCTGGATGAAATCCGTTTCATATCATATTTTCATCTCAAAACCAAGATTATACCGACATATATAGTTATGTTGTATTTAACATAAATTTCTTGTGATGAACAAATATAAAAAAATACATAAATTGTCTTTATATCTATACCAAAGTTAGAACCCACTTCTTAGAATAATAGACAACCATAAAACAATCCAACTTTTGTTTATAAATTTTTTTTCTTGAATTTTAAGAACTGATATCGAGTTTTAGGTTAGGTAGTAATTAGGATTTTTCACATGTTGTAACGACGATTATTTTCCTCTAGATTGAAATCGATGTAAATATATCAATGATTGAAAAAAAAGGCTTGAAATCGACACAGACACGTGTAAATCCATGGCAAAAACTCTTGAAATCAACGCACACTAAATTGGGAAAAATAGAAAACAAGGTTTCTGAATGGAGGTGTCGAAAAGCATCCGGATGGTGTTCTTTATCCACACCTCGTTTCTTCTTTCTCTTCCCTATTGCCCTATCATACAAAAATATCTCCTTTATTTTTCTCCCCAACTATACATAATCAAACAACTCGTCGGATGAAATCCGTTTCATATCATATCTTCATCTCAAAACCAAAACTATACCGACATATATAGTGATGTATTTAACATTAATTTCTTGTGATCTGGACAAACAACAAGATGAACAGATATGGAGGAACAATAAGATGAACAAACATATATATATATAAATTGTCTTTATATCTATACCAAAATTAGAACACACTTCTTATAATAATGGACAAACAGAAAACAATCCAACTTTTGTTTATAAATTTTGGTTCTTGAATTTTAAGAATTGATATCGAGTTTTAGGTTAGGTAGTAATTAGGGGTTTTCACATGTTGTAACGACGATTATTGTCCTTTAGATTGAAATCCATGTAAATATATCAGCGATTGAAAAAGAAAACTTGAAATCGACACACACACACATGTAAATCCATGGCAAAAACTCTTGAAATCGACACACAGTAAATTAGGAAAGATCGAAAACAAGGTTTGTGAATGGAGGTGGACACTGGTGGTGTACGTGTTCGCCATTTTTGTTTACCAACCCCGAACTGTAGTATGCAAATTCTGGCTTTAACAACAGCATCTATATTTAGAAAACCATAGCTCCAACGGAGGGCATCATATATACTAATTATGGATTGGTTTTGTTTTCTTGATCTAATAGCCTTTTCATGTGGATAGAGACCAAACCAATAAAAAGATCCAATTTTAGACTATTGGTGCACCACCAAAACATTTTGAACAAAAACCACTGAATTTTACAAACCATTGGTTATATATATATATATATATATATATATATATATATATATATATATATATATATATATATATATATATAGTTAGGTTCATGTATTTCTTGTATCTATTGTGTGTTCGTATGTATGGATAAATCTAGACCAACAGATGGAATAACATCAATGGTTATGATATTAGTGTCTATGATATTATAATAGGATAACATGTACTTTATAATCACACAAATTTCAGTATAAGAGTATTTTGGTTAACTAACCTCTATTAAAAAGCAAGCGATTGCGGGTTGTTCTTCTTCCAATCTTCCTTATTGGCTTCTCATTATTTGATTTTCCATTCTCGATAGAAGTAAGAAGCAACCGTTACCAATATGCAATATCGATTGAAACAATGAAACGATATGTTAAGTTTGATATGTTCTTCTTCTTCGGTTCTTCCTCTAAAAATCAAATAATCCGATTAGTTGATTTTCAATTCTTCTTATGTTTGATAATTGATTTGTACTCCTCTAATAACCAAGTGACTGCTCTTCTTCTTCTCTGATACTTAGTCAATCTGATTCTCAGTTACTCTATTAGGATTACATTTGAGATGTTATATTTGTAATATTTTTTGACGTCCAATATATGAATATTTGAATCTGACTATCTGTTTATTAGGTTATCTATCAGGGTTAAAGTTTGATGTGGTATTTGTATAACAGTTTTCAGACCAAAAAATTAAGCGTAGACTGAATGGAACATTTATTAACTGTTTAAGTTTTTTTTCATTAATAAATTATGATGTGGCTATGATTTTTGTGGATGCTCTAGTAGTCTAGTTTCAACTGTAAATTTGTAGTACATTATAATTGAATCAGGGTTGGAACAATTTTTGTTGGAAGTTGGAACGAATTTGAGTTTTCTCAAGATTAAGGCTATTAAGAACTAACTGTGATCACATTAAATATAGTAAAGGCCAAAAGGCCCCAAATTTTTGGTTCACTTAGAGCCCCCAATCTGGTTGAACCGTCCCTGCTATGATGCCATCAGTTTGAGTTCTTTCAGGAAAAGCTTCATATTGGTCTGTCACCGTTTTGCTTGAAAGGGTATATTAGACAATAATAGTGTGCTACTTAGTTGTATATTTGTAAAATGTAACTTTTATAATTTACATATTCTCAGCCTCTCCACCACGATTTGGTGCGAAGAGGTTTCAGTTCTCTATTGGTTAACGACAAATATCTAAGTATTGGGGTGATCCATAAAAAAATATGTTGGATCAGCAACATATTTTAGTAACTTTAAACTGTATGAGTTTGTCGATAAATTTGACAGTTTTATTTTAAATAATTTAGACAATTGTTTACGGAGTATAATAATTCAAAAAATCCGTATACATAAAGTAAGAAAATTTCCATTTTTTTTTAAATTTATGTACATTACATGAAATTTTGTTATTATTATAATTATTAATGTTAATTAATAATAATATTTATTATTATTATTGAGATTTTCTAATATATGCCTAAATGCACATATAAAAAGCATTATTTATGGAAAATATTACCATAATTAAATATGAAATGCATTAATTATAGATAATATTTATCATCAAAAAATATGAAATTAATTAATTAAATAAATATTTCATATAACTAATGGATTTTACATTTAATTATGGTATCATTTCACATATTTAATGGTTTTTATAAGTGTCATCATGACACATTTTAGAAAATCCAATTTATATATATATATATATATATATATATATATATATATATATATATATGTGTGTGTGTGTAGGTAGGTTCAAATGTTTCTAGCAAATAGTGTATGTCTAAATGTACCAATGAGAATTCAAGAATAATAATTTTTTAAATAAATTAAAAAAGGGTATAATGGTAAACTTCGTATATCTAATTATGGTAAAAATTAATTCAATTAATCTCTCCTTAATTATTTTACCCCTACAAAGCCAACATCCCATACCTTAAAGAGTACGGCGACCTATTGTGATCAAAAGAGGCTAGAAGTAACGGTTCGGTGGTGCTGGTGGATCGCTAGCATAGGCGATGGAGGGGGGCCGGTAGCGTAAGGCTGCTCCCCTCGGCTCCATTCTTCTTTCGGTCCGATCGTCTTGAAAGACAAGGGTGGTTGCAAATTGGGAGTTGTAAGGAGACAATAAGTCATATGGGTTGGTGGCAATCAGCAGGTGGGTGGAATCGGTGATGGAGGAAGCTGGGCAACTATGATTCAATCAATAGGTAAAGGCTCCTTCTTTTCTTTTTGTTCTTGTTTGATTTGGCAGAACTACATAGGTGTTCGTTTGATTAACAATTGATGGGTTTGTAGAAATGCCTCAAAGAGAATTTGGCAGCTTTGTTGTAGAAATGGGCTGAAAGAAATTTTGATTTCTATGTTGCACGCTAGGTGTTTGTAGAACTGCCTCAAAGAGAATTTGATGTTCAAATTCTTGAAGAACACAAAAATAATTTTAACTTGGTTGTTTGTGTTACTTGGTTCTAACATGTGGTATGTTTCTTTGTTAATTGCCTGAAAGAGTATTTCTTTTATTTTCTTCATTAAACCTTTTGATATGTTTTTTTGTTATTGTTATTAACTCCTTATTTGTTAGTTACCTGAGTAGTATCAATCTTTGCTATTGGTATTTTATTTTTTAATCAATTTAGGATGAAGATTTGATTAACGGTTTATAAGAGATTTTCACAAATTTGAGTCAGTTTAGAACTTAAACATTGTATGAATGAGAAAACTCTTCTCAAAAGCATTTGTAATCACCTGATTAAATAAACAATATGTGGAAAATATCAAAATCTAACCGTCTAATATTTGAAAAATATTAAACTTAATATGTTCCACAGTTCACAATTTTATAATCTTGATTTAGTAGCAATATTTATGTATTCTATCAGAATGTATTCTATGTATTCCATCATATTTTATGTATTCTTCCAGAATATATAAAGTGCTAGGAATTGCAGGTAACATTCTAGTAATTCTGACAGAATGCATTTATACATTCTATGCTTTAGAATGTTTATATATAGAGAAATATGATTGCAAATGGCAAATCACATGCTTTTAATTCTTTATAGTGGCATGTAAAGTTATAACTAGCAGATTTAATTCTATGAATTCTGCGAGATTGTATTATATGTATTATGCAAGATTGTGTTCTAAATATTCTACCATAATGAATTATATGTATTCTTCGTATTCACTAACTGTATATCCAAGAATGTTGATTTTTTATGATATTCTTGTAGAATATATATAAATATATTAAAATGTATAAGGCTATTAGTATGTAAGAATATGTATGAATTTGTATTTAAGTTCGAATGTATATGAAAATATTAAAATGTTGTTATTCTTCAACTAAGAGTTCAAGAATTCTGTTATTCTTCATTAATATTC